TTCAACACTCTGACTGGGATTGATGTTGACACTAGACTCACAGAATCTCTCAGCACAAAAGGAAAAAAGGTGCTTCATTTTTTTGAAAGTCAACTTTCAAGGTGGAAAAAGGATGTCAGGACAGTCCTGAAAGACATCGACCAAGCTGGTAAAGGAGATGTCGACTATGGTGTTGCATCTATAATTACCACAATGGCTTACTTCAAAGAGAAGGAAGATGCCTTCTTTCTTCTTGCTGATGTAAGTATTAATGTTATTTGAACAGCTGATTCTAGAGAATACTGATTGTAATTAGTGTCATAGTTTCTTAAACATTCTAAGACATTTCTAAAAGACTATTACTGTTTTTGTATTTATGTGTCATGCATTTGAGGTTCAATTTAATTTCCATAATAATTTATCATCAAACTTCTATTTTGCAAGATAGGCAGACATATCACAAGATATCACAAAGTGACATACAAGCATAAACTTGATTGGAGAGGTCATTGAGAAGTATTTTAAACAAGATGCAAGTATGTTCTCTATGTAATTAATTTTTCCCAACCTTTTGTTAATTGTTCTACTTTAAGGTCACTGCAACTCCAGCAGATGTAGAGGGAAGCCTCTCTCTGCCCAGTACCCCAAGACTGATTGCACTTGGTAAGTCTATTAAAATGCTTTTTTAAATTGATAGGCTGAGATTAAAGTTGGCCAAGTCCAACATCTACCGGCAGACAGACACACGAGAGCTGAACGTCTGCTTTTGCGTCAACACAGCTTGCACGCGTCCCGGTGAACGCACGTTGGAGACTAATATTTTGTAAATAAAGTGGTAAATTATGTTTAATTATTTTAGGCAGCAGCCATACCAACCAGGCTGTACATCACAAGCACTTATCCTAAAGCTTTTAGGCTGCATTTATTTGATCAGAAAAACAGTAATATTTTAAAATATTATTGCAATTTAAAATAACTGTTTTCTATTTAAATATATTTTAAAATGTAATGTATTCCTGTTATCATACTCCAGTCTTCAGTGTCACTTGATCCTTCAGAAATCTTTTTAATATGATGACTTGCTGCTCAAGAAACATTTCTGATTATTATCAATGTTGAAAACAGTTATGCTGCTTTTTTATTTGCGTTCAGAAAGTGATAGATGTTTTTTTTTAAGATTCCAAAGAACAGTATGTATTTCAAAATATATATTTTATAACATTGTTTTTACTGCCACCTTTGATCAATTCAATTAAATAATTTATTTTAATTTGACATGAGACCTCCAAAGGACATGAGTGCAGTGGTCAAATATGTCTTTCTCTAGCACGCTTTCTCACAAAATCAATGGAAAAGAAGCGCAGTGGAATGAAAAATGTTCTGTGTGAAAAGTTCCATGTAAAATTGCAAGGTGAAGTCTGTGAATTAGGGCAATCACTACTAAATTGAACACACCATACAGACTGGTAACTTTTTGCATTTTAAAGCATTTAAATATATATATATATATATATTATTATTATTTATTATGGTGACAATTAAAAAAATGTTTGCCTCAAGAATCGTTATTTGTTAACAATAGATTTTTCCCTACCCTTGCTAAAAAAATCTGCTATGATGGTGTCTGTTACAGGAGATTCTGTTTTCATTGCTAAAAAATGGATGCTGACAATGGAGGGCAGAGTCATCATAGAGCCACAAGAGCTAACAGATTTTCAATCTGCATTAGCTATCTTGTTTGGCTGCTACTATGTGTTCAATGTGCAGTACCAGGAAGAGGCAATGAATACGCTGGAGTTCATTCAGAGGTAATCATAAATTAATTCAAAAGTGTTATGATTTTGACCAACAATGATGTAGAGCAGCGTTTCACAACTGGTGTGCCGCTGCATTAATATCTCGTGGCAACAACATATTATCACGTTTCCACAAGTTTATATGTTGTGGCCATGACAAAACTAAGTCAACCAAACATGTCCCCTCCCGGTCACCGTACTGAAACACATAAGTGTTTCCCGATAAATTATCTTCATTCACAAACCACTGTTATTTTTAAACAGAAAATCAAGCATAGGCTACTGGATGTTTGATTTGGCATGGCAGAAAGCACGCAAAGAGCTGTCCCTTTATAATCACTAAAAATGTATCCCTAATCTCACAAAGTTCCATTATAATTTGTGTATAATCTGTCTACACTGTACAATTAATTATTTATTTATATAGTACATATTGCTTTTATTAATATCAAAGTGCATACAGCACCATGTTATGACTGTTTGGAAAGCAGTTGTTTGATAAATGTGTTTTTTCTTGTGCTTGCAGGTTCATTCTGAGAATAAACCCTGATGGCACCAAATGCCAATCAAAATCGCAGATCAGCAAGACATCTGGAAAAAGGGTCCAGAGAAAAATCGCCAGCCTGAATCCCCTTGTGGCATCTTTCATCAGAGAGCTTGTTGACTTCGATTGGCAAAATTATTGAAGGCTTGTTCTGCTTTTCAGCATGTTTACATTTTTAGCCATGTTAAATACACGGGATGAATTCAAACACATTTGTAAAATGTAATTTTAATTGTAAAATGAGGACTCATGAATATTTTTGGGGAAAAAAACTTTTTAACAGAGACTATTTATATATAAAAGAACTTTGTTTTTAATCAGTTAATCATCAGTTACACCTGTTGTTAATTTCATGAATTGGTTTGTCTTTTTAAACTCTGTGTTTGGTTTGGTTGTTTTGTTCCTTTGTTTTCTGAGTATTTTGAGTTTTGTGTTAAATAAAACTTTGACTGCTGCGATTAGATCCGTTTAATCAACTTTATTGCATTCCTACCTGTGACATGTAGATACAAATTAAATTAATTTTGTTTAAAATAAATTAAGCTAAACTCAAATCATTAAAAAATATATAATTCTGTAATAGGAAATCAATTCTAATAATGTAAATAAAAATACGGTACTTGTACTGTAAATGAAAAACAGTAAATAATAATAAAATATACAGTATTATTACTGTAAATGAAAAAACGGTACTTGTACTGTAAATAAAAAATACAGTACTCATACTGTAAATATCAATGCAGTATATATTATTACTGTAAATGAATTTACAGTAATGATACTGTAAACACTTTTACAGTAACTTACTGGCATCCAGCTGCCAGTAAGTTACTGTAAAATTTACAGCAACCTTTTTACAGTGTATGTTTTCCCCTCTCAAATCGAGCCATCTGACCGTGTGACGTCACACGGTCTGACGTCCCCTCCCACGATTGTTGATTGACAGCAGCGTTTCAACACAGACCCGCCCTGAGCGAGCTGTCATCATAGTCCGCCATTGTTGATGCGCTGGAGCAGAATGGCGTCTAAGCGATTGTGGTGTTCTGTTCTTGGGTGTAATAACGAACACAGCAGTCATTTTGATGTTCCTAAATCCGAACCGCTGAAGACGCAGTGGCTGAGTTTTGTTTTCGAAGGGAATATTCCCCACGATCACCGTCAATGCTTTCATGTTTGCTCGAATCGTTTCTCACCAGATTGCTTTATAAACGAGGGTCAGTATAAAGCTGGTTTTGCTAAGAAGCTGATCCTGAAAAAGAATCGGTACCAACTATTTGTGTTCCTGCTGCACCTCCAGAAGAAATGAGTGATATTAATCTTTGCAAATCGCGAAAAAAAGTTTTTCATGACCATTAGCTGTAACATCAATCTGTCAATGAACGTGTACATCAGTAAACACACAGCGTTCGTATCTCACTACTCTACCCTGCCAGTACACAAAAATAGATCAAAGTGACATTACGTTAACCAACCATTCAGAAACGTCCTGTTCGAGCCTTAATTGTCGAACTTCTTCAGGGCCGCCATCTTGTTCCGGGTCCGACTCCGGTTCAAATTGATACGGTTGCTCAGATGTGTCCTCAGAGACTCCCGCTGCCATTCTTTCAAGACACATGCACTTAAACGGAGTGCTGAAAACAGAGCTGTTTTTGACCAGGTAAAATTAGTGTTTTCTTACAATACTAATGAGAATTTTTAATTAAAGTATATTACAAACTTTTTATTTAGACCCTAAAGAATCATATTAACTTGTATAAATATGGCATTATATGACCCCTTTAAGTACTGTGTCTGTGCCTGTAACTAGCTGATATACTGTGTAAATCTAACCCTTTGGTAAAATCAATAGGGAAAGATGGTCCCCTTTCTACAGCTTATAAGAGAAAAGAGTACTTTAAAGATTTGTTAAATATTGTTGAGCCAGTGGAGATTATTCTGGACCAAAAAAAGAGCAGGACCTTTCAGTATATCCCATTATTGCAGTGTTAAACTGCATTATCAGTAGCCACAGACCACAGGAAAGTACAGACCAGTTAGAGAATCAGCAGTATCGCTCAATAAGAGACAGTTTGTACTTTAAGGACAACACTTTCCTGTCAGTTGATGATTTGCGAACTTGTTTAACTTTGTACATCGATGATTTTGAGGTTTGTAATCCCCTGGGTACATTGCAAAAAACACACAAACTGTGTAGTGTGTACTGGATTCTGAATAACTTGCCACCAGGCTCTCATTCAGCACTATCTTCCATTTATTTAACGGTTTTGTGCAAGAGTAACGATGTAAAGGTATATGGCTATGTGTGGCGGACGACACGAGGGCAGTAAGAGGGGGGGGTTTCTTAAAGATTTATAATTAATAGGATTGTCTCATTCATACTCCGACTACGCCACTCTGGGAATTTCACCCAAAGAATTAGAGTAAGCCCCAACAAAAGGCACACACAGGTTCGAGTCACCTAATAGAGTCAGAGACATGGGTCGTCATACAAAATTGAGTTTTATTAACAATTCTTAAAAGAGAACAGTATAAAAAGGATATAAAGCACTTTGTCCAAATTCAATGAACCCCTAAAGGTTTAGGACCAGGTCTAGACAGGGACGAGAGACACAGAGGCAGAGAGTCGTAGCATGCCACCCGCAGGTGCAGGACCACTGCACTTCACTGTGCACACGCACACACACACAGATGTTAACACCAAGCACTGCACACGGTGAGAAAGATACCGTCACCCAAGTAAGAATCCTCTGCCCCCGGTGCTCAGGCCCTGCTAACACACAAAAAGGGTATACATCAGATACAGAAATAAATAATCAAATAAAAAGAATCACTTCGATAGCTGGGAGAATTATTAGCGCTCAAATCAAGGAAACCAAAATAATATTACAATTAATAAATTGGAATAAACAGTTAGTTGAAACTAAACCCAAATGTCACGGCAGCAAAATATATAAAGAAATAAATAAAGAAAACAAACCAAACTCCAGTCAAAATTATTAATCAAAAAAACAAATCAAGCAGTTGGGAGCAAAATAAAGCAATCTAAAGAAATAAACTTATTTCAGAGAAATAATTGAAAAATAGATCATTCAACTTCAGGAGCAAAATCAAATACAAATGAGAAAGCAAGTAGAAACATCAAAATAAATTAGAATGAGAAAAGAGCAAGGATTACAGTTCAGATTCCACCACCAATCCTTGCAGCTAATATCAGTTCAAAAGAAAATGAAAACTACATGAAGTCAAAAAGAAACTAAAGAAAATATCAACTGAAAGTCCCAAATTACAATGGAATCAGTTGACAGTTAACAGGGTCGAAACAGGATCGAAAACAGACCAAAACAGGATCGAAAACAGACCGAAACAGGATCGAAACAGGACAGCACTGCGGCCGGAATTGAACGCGGAGCACCCCGACTGGAATGAAGTTACAGTCCTTTATGGACCTATAACAGGGCCCTATAAACAACAGCATTGTTACTCTGCTAGATAAATTCTCTACTGCTAGATAAATTCTCTAACTTAATGCATGCACGTAAAACTAATACATACCGATCGCCGAGGAAAGTGAAACGTAGCTTTCTCTGGAGGGGAACTCAGGTTCTCACCACTGAGAAAGGGTATGGATTAGGACACATCCTTAAATACAAACTAGCACTTCAAAACACGCATTTCAACAGAGCCGATTAGCGAGAGATTAGCAAACTCTCCCTACCTCCTCCAGCGTCCACATCCAGTACACGCAAACAATAACAATTGTAGCGAGCTTGTGCCGCAGAAGACAGCAGCACGCTCTCCAGAGCAAAACGGTGTTTCTAAAAGGTACATTAAAAGAACACACTTCTCATAACTACAGACACTCCAGGAGCTAAAAAAACAACTAACAGTGCATACTCTTACCGGTTCGGGTGCTCACGTCCGGTTCCCAGGAGGCAATAACGGGCGCGTATTAGTGACGCAACAATTCAACTGTGACGCCTGACTAGCGGTAACTGCGTGACTGTTTTAAAGCCCAGGAGCACATATGATTGGCTAGGCTGGCCATCGATCACAATGATGAAGAAAGACAGAAACGCCCTTATGGAAAAATTTTAGAGCCACTTTTACAAGACCTTTGTACTTTAGAAGAGCATGGTGTTTTCAGCTCAAAACTTGGGAAGTTTGTTAAAGGAACAGTCCATAGTGTTGTAGCGGACAATTTGGGGGCCTACGGATTGGCTGGTTTTGTAGAGAGCTTCTCTGGGCAGTATATTTGTCGATTTTGTACTGCTCAGAAAGTAGATATTCAAACAAAGGATGTTCAGTCAGGTGCTTTTTTTGCTTAGAACAAAAGAAATGCATGAAGCACATGTGAAGTCTGCACAGGAAACTGACACAAATTGCTTTGGTGTGAAGAGAGCTTGTGTTTTAACAGAATATCTTTAACATTTTCATGTTAACACAGGCTATCCCCCAGATAAAGTGCATGACCTATTTGAGGGTATTGTCCGTTCTGAACTGGCACTATGTTTCAGTGTTCTCATCTCTAAGAAGTGTTTCAGTCTTGAATGTCTTAACACACGAATCCTCAAATTTGCCTATAAGTGGGGTGACAAAAAAAAAAAATTATCGCAAGTCATACCAAACAGCTATTCATGTAAGAAGACAATAGGTGGCAACGCCCATGAGAATTGGAATCTAATACGATTTCTTCCATTTCTAGTAGGAGACTTGATTCCAGAGGATGAGCTTGCTTGGCAAGTGATATTAGACCTGAATGAAATTGTAGAATTAGCTGTGGCACCAGTTCACACTGTCTGAACACAGACAGAGCCTACTCGAGCTTAACCCGGACGTAAAGATTTTTCCTAAACACCACTATCTTGAGTATTACCCGCACATGATTAGGTGTTTTGGGCCTCTTCTAGGTTTATGGACGATGCGATTTGAAGCTAAACATAGCTTTTTTAAACAAGTAGCTCAAGTAGCTCGACACACAAATAATTTCAGGAATATTGCACTCACACTGGCAGCCAAACACCAGCAATTAATCAATTACCACGTATATTCATCCAGACTCAATACATCAAATTTGGAAGTTTCAAATGTCTCTACAGTCCAGGTTGATGTTCTGAATAAGGAAATTGTGTTGGCTCTCAGGCAGAAGTATCCAAATATCAGTCAAGTTCATCTTGCAAAAAGTGTCACCACTAGAGGAATAAACTACATAAATAGAATGTTAGTTGCATGTGGTTCAACTGCTGGAATGCCATAATTCGCAGAAATTCTACAAATGTGCATAAGGGGTGATGAGCTGAGTTTCATTGTGCGTTTATTGTGTGCTTGGTATAGAGACAACTTCAGATCTTTTGAGTTGACTTCTTCCCCAGGTAAAGAGGTTGCCCTGGTTCAGCTTGAAGAACTGACAGACTGCTATCCACTTGTGGCCTATACAGTTTGTTCCAAACATATGGTAACCCTGAAGAGACACATCGTCATCAAAGTTGTGATTTATACGACTTCCAGTTCCTTTTAAAAGAATGTAGTAACTTTAACATATCAATGTTTTATTTATTACCTAAGCGTTTTGGTTCTGCATTCTAGATTAACACTCTGGGGTCGGCGGTATCGCTGGCGATACCAGCTCACTTTTTTTCTTATAAGTGCAAAAAAGACTCAAAATACTCTGCTGATTTTTATCTTAGATATCAGTGTTATACATCATTCGATCCTGTTAAGTGTCTATTTTTCGTGTATACCCACAATAAAAACAAAGTGTTGTGCTTTTTGTCAAATAAAGAAAAATAAACATGATGCTAATTTTGCCTTCTCTCTGTCAGTGAAGTCCATTCTGAAACGCGTCAGAAAATGAACTGTAACTCGGTCAATACTTGTCACAGAGACACGAAAGATTTATCTTTATGAAGCTGAAATTCTCTTCTTTTAAATGAATATTCTCAGTTTATGTAATCTGTATGAAAAGAGAGAGATGTCAGTCTGTTTCCTTTCACCTAATTATAGCTTATTCCGTGTTAATGTGACCACGCCCACGGAGAGCGGGCGCTATTCAAACGCAAATGTTGAAGCAAGCCATGAAAACACCCACATCAGCTGGATAAAACATCCAGTTTAATAAGAATCTTGTACTTTACCTCGTCTTGCTGCGCTCTGAGGAATAATACTATCGTAATAATCCTGGAAAAGTTACCTCAAAAGTCCTGGTAGTTTCATTTCGAGGAGCACGGATTCAGCTGATGAAGTATGTTATTTATTCTTAAGAACAGCACAGACACGCGCGCGATGTTGTTTACTACAGCTGTACATTGCATCTGTGCCATTCATTCACTCTCGCTCCTACATTAGTAAACGTTATATTTACATAAACACATCCAAACTATATTGCTAAAGCCTACTGAGATTTGTTCTAATCGCGATATAGAATAGTGTCTGTAATGACAACATTTCGTTGACTAGTTTTGGATAGATTATAAAGTTTTTACTCTAAAATAGACATCAAATAAGCGTTTGTTAGACAGTTTCTGCTCATATGTTAAATATATAGTATGTTTTGTCAAAAATAAACTAATCAACTGTTATAGTGTTTGTTCCAATGCAAGCTATATCAAAATAATGAATCCTTAACTTTGAAATATGTATGATAAAATGTATTGGCCTACTTTAAAAAATAATACTTTATAAGACATTTATGGGAAAAAAACAATTTTCTTTTCAAGATGTTTCCAACTCTAACTTTGAACCAATTCTATAGAATGGCCCATATAACCTATTTGAACAGGATTTGTTTCCAGGTATGACTAAAAATGTGTGCTTTTGACTTTCATTTATATTTTGATTATATATATATATATATGTGTGTATGTATGTATGTATGTATGTATGTATATTGTGACGATCTGCGGCTGGAGTGCCCGCTTGAGCCTCTGGGGGGCTCTCCTTCCTAGTTTATTATTTCCATAATGTTTCACCCTGAACTGATTATGGTTGATTTTATGCACCTGTGTTTTATTATCTTGTTTAGCGCACCTGTCTTAAGCCTGAGTTATACCTATGTCGATTGCGAAGTCTTGTTTTGCCCTGCAGACATTTCCAAGTATCCCTGGTTTTCCTGGTTCCCTGATCTTTGCCTGTTTTCTCTCTGTGTGCTTTTCTGTTTAATAAAGTTACTGCGAATGGATCCGCATGACTCTGCCTCTTCGTTACAGAAGACTTCGCCACAACAGGATCCAGCAGCCTTGTATGCCTCCCAGTCAGCCAATGCAGATCTGAGCGCTGTACAGCAGGTTCAACTGAATCAACTCACCTCGTAGTTGGAGAGGTTGGCTAAGATGGTTCGCGGTCTTCATTTCTCCACACCGGGACCATCGCGCACTCAACCCGTCTCCACTGTTGTCAGCCCTGAACCGATCCGGGTTCTACGTCAAGCTCGCCCAGTGAAGTACGACGCGGATACTGGAGCTGAGATCATGTGTCTACGTCAAGAGGGTCGTTCGATTGAGTGGTATGTCGAGGAGTTTGTTGAACTCGCACGTTTCACGAGAATGACCACCGTATGTTTAAAGATCTTTTTCCGCGGAGGGTTGTCAGAACCGCTTCGCTCAAGGATGCTCTACCCTGTACCTGACTGCACTTTGACCCAATATATTGACCTGGCCCTTTCCATGAGCGGTTCGCCTTTTACTGTTGGTTTTTTGGAACTTTTGCTTCACAAGAGACCCGACGATTCGCCATTTTACAAGGTACCCACTGAGTCCACGCATCAAGTGTCTCCCCGTGAATCAGCGCTTCACGCGTGCTCCGCCGAGCCTGCGCCTCACGTGAGCCCTGCCGAGTCCAGTGAGTCAAGTGAACCGAATCCCGAGTCAAGTGAACCGAATCCCGAGTCAAGTGAACCGAATCCCGAGTCGAGCGTGCCAAGTACCGAGCCAAGTGAGTCAAGCGCCGAGTCAAGTGCATCGTCCAGTGAATCAAGTGCATCTTCCAGTGAATCAAGAGCATTGTCCAATGAATCAAGTGCATCGTCCAGTGAATCAAGTGCATCGTCCAGTGAATCAAGTGCATCGTCCAGTGAATCAAGTGCATCGTCCAGTGAATCAAGTGCATCGTCCCGTGACTCAAGTGCATCGTCCAGTGAATCAAGTGCATCGAGTGCCGAGTCAAGTGCATTGAGTGAATCAAGCCCTGTGACGCGCCGCCGCAGGAGGAGGAGGAGGACTCGTTCGGCTCGCCAGGCTCCGGTGAGCGTACCCAGACTCCTCGCCCTGCCAGCCCCGCCTCTGCGCCTCACCCTGCCGGCCCCGTCTCTCAAGCTCCATGAGACTGTCCCATAGCTTCACGTCAGCCACGACAAGCCAGAGTTTCACGACAGCCTTGACGATCTTGTTCTTCACGAACATACAGTCCCAGAGCCCTTGTCAGTCCCAGAGCCGGTTCTTGTTCCAGCCCAGTAGGCAGTAGGCTCCACGAGGGGACCATGAATGTTGTGCTGCTATGGTCTCCCGAGGGGTCTTCTCTGCCATGGCTGCCCGAGAGGTCTTCACACCCAGGGAAGCCTGAGGGGGCTCCACCCTGGCCTTCGTCTCGTCCTGCTCCGCCCTGGCCTTCGTCTCGTCCTGCTCCGCCCTGGCCTTCGTCTCATCCTGCTCCGCCCTGGTCACCGGCCGAGTCTGGTCCACCCAAGCTCTGCGGCCCAGGCCCGCCTGGGCTACTTCCTGGTCCCGTTCCCCTGCACGGGCCTGGCCCTCCATCCCAGCCCCCGTTGACCTCCCCCCGGAGCTCTTAGGAGC